TTATTATTATATTATTACATACTATAAGAAATATGTAACATGGCAACTCGGATTTGTTAAGTTCGATTATCACCATATATCACGTAAATTTGAAGAGAATAAATGAGAGATTACATAAATGATAAACAATAGATAGTAATAGTTCGTTTCAATTCAATTCTGAGAAGCTCGACCATATAAATAAGAATTGTCTTAAAGCTCAAAGTTTATGAGGTACCTCAAGTAGAAAAAATTTTCATTTTTTGTTAAAGTGGAAATGGCTTTATTCTTTACACAAATGAATATTACTTCTATTTTATATCGTTATTTGTTGAGGTGTTGAGGTGAGAAATTTTGTAACTGCTTTCCTCCTCATCTTAAATTAAAGTAATAGCTTTAAAAATAGAAATAGACAAACTCAAAACTTGACTTTCAATTCGTTGAACTTGCGTTTCCAAATAAAGCTGTAGTTTATAAGCTCGTTTTAATTTAAAGCACGGCAATAACTTTGGTTAATGTCACTAATTAAATAAAAAACAAAGGACAGAAAACCTGTAACTAGAGCACTGAAAACTTATGGAAAAACTAAATTAATCATCGCAACTAATTTCTCAGGCATGAGTTCTAAGCCTGGTACTTGTAGCCCAAACAAATTATATACGGACTACAAACTAATTAAAACTAATTAAATTAATAAACTAATTAAAAATTTGATTATTTCCTAAGACCACTGATGACGAGTATGGCTTTGTATGGTCAGTCAAATTTCAATAAAATTAAATAAATTTTTGCACTTGTCTTTTCTTTGCTATGCGAATCCCTCTAAATTATATTACTTTTATTATTTTTGTCATTATTTCTTGAACTAAATAATTTCGCAATAACTCCTCTCTTTACAAAAATGAATATTATTTTTATTATTTCATTTCATTTTTTGTTAAGGTGAGTTATTTTGCAACTGCATCTTCCTTTACACAAAATAATAATATTAGTTTTATTATTCTTATCATTGGTTTTAAATAAACTAAAACAAGCTCTTAACAAAATATTTGATTGACTATTATTACTGAAATTTCTCTTATTTCTTTTAATTGAATCAAATTCAAAATATAAATGACAGAATATTAAGATTGACACTACAATTACTCCTAACGCCAATTAATTCACTTTCTTGCTCATATCTACATAATCCCTTACTTAAATAATCAATTAGAAATGAAATAAAATCGTTTTTACGTAAAACCGAAATCGTTTTTGCAAATTATTCACATATTAAATGAATTTTCATCATCTCTGTTTGCAGTAAAACTTTAATTTTCCAAAAAAAAAAAAATGAAAAAAAAAGAAAGAAGAAAATAAGAATTTCTTTTCCATTCACAAATTAAATCCCAAAACAAAAATGTCAACAAAGTAAACAAGGATTAGAAACTTAGGGAAAGCAAAAGGACTCTGCACGAAAGACAATCTCCGAACAAACTTATGTACGAGCATGTCTTCTGTTGCAAAGGATATATGCGAAACATTTGTCAGTTACATTGACAATCCTAATATCCTTTTCCAAGTTTGGGAAGTTTAGGCTGCGAAAGGTCAAACAAATCGAATGACTTTCTTGGCTTTTTATGGATTTAGTTACAATTGATTTGTTTTCGGTTCGTGTGCGTACTCCGTAGGTTAAGGTAAATCAAAACTTACAATGCCACTTATGAGATTCGGGTGGCTCAGACGAAAGAGGATTGCGGCAAATAAAAACAGAAATGCGAAACAAATAAGGCAATGCTGACAGATCATTTGCTGAATAATTAAAGCATTAAAGTATCTGGATCCTTGTAATTTATTGCAACTTTCCGAAAGTGTGTGCGTAAATTCAAATTAGTTTTTATTATAGCTGAAATGGAGCACATAAAATGTTAATGGAAAATAATTATAAGTCATGCCTTTGCCAAAATATTTCACTAACGAATATTTTATTAACGAACTATAATTTATGGCTTTGTCAACTTTTTACTCATTTTATAATCCATTAATATTGGCGTTTACAATCTGCCATTAAAATATTATATATGCATATATTTTTATATTTATATACATACTTAAACGGTATGTATCGTTGGAAGAGAAAGAAAAAAATTTTTTTTTATGAAAATCTGTAGGTGCCAACACCAACACCAACGCCAACGCAAAGAAAACAAAATAACTTCATTACAATTTATGAATCATTTATGTGTGCCTCTCCAAACCTCATTTTGAAAGAAAAACTCTTCATATAAAATAAAAGCGGAATTAATGTGTATTCTCATTTTACTGGAAATGTTCTTAAAATAAATCAAGTTCCTTGCAAGGATCTGAGAAGCACGTTTCGAGCCATGTGAACAAATTTAGTATGACCAAGCAAGAAGGATTAACCACAGTATTGCCATCCGGTTCATATACTCGTATTTGTGTCACGTGTAAGGTAAGAGCAATAAAATAAAATATATGTTAAAAATATGTTGAGATATTCTTTAAATAAAAACCCATTAAATCTGCACAAGCCATCAGATGTGGGATAATAAATACTTCGTTGAAGAATAGAGAATGAAAAAAGTAAAAATTTTAATGTGAAGAGCTTCGTAATGCGATTCCTCTACGATATGTCACTAAATCCTATCTTAAAGATAATTTTTACAGTATTATGTTGTATATAAGGAGTCATTGAAAAGAAAGCACATACCAATGGAAATAATTTTTGATAATAAAATTTGAGATATTTTAGCTAAAATAGGAATCAAATAAATTTAAAGTTTTTTATATTAATATAAAATTAAATAAATCGGATTTTAATAAAATAGTTGCCAAAACAAATATTTAAAAATTCTGGATAATATAAAAATCTTATATAATTATATTATATATTATTATATATGTTATTTAATATATATCTAATATTATATAAAACGTTCAAGATTTTTGTTATCTCAACTTAAAAATGCTATCAAAACGAACTACTTGTTTTATAGATAGAGTTCCCTCTAGGACTAAGTACGACGTTGTGAAATAAGTGTTCAAGATGACATCTCTTGGTAGACTTACCATTCAAGAGTCATATTCTTCAAGATAATATAGAGACATTTGTATATTACATCTATTTTCTAAATTTCCATTTGAAGAATAGAGTGTTGAAACCTCTTGGCCAACTAAATGGTCTTGCGCTAGTACTAAAAATTGGTTTAATATTAGATAAAGTTACTTTAATTCGGTTGCTATTAATTGATGCCAGTTAACTCATGATTACGATCTCTTTGTTGAACACCACGGATCTCATATGGCAATGTGAACGATCCACTTGCACCCTTAATGAGTAATTTAAAAAAAGGATATGTATGACTTGTGAACATCGGGTCATAAAAGAAATCCATTTGCAATTAAAAAAAAAGTAATCAACGATGGTTGAAGGGCTTGGTTTCATACTTTATGATATGTCTGTTGTTAGTTCGCAAACTGAGAAGCATTTATGAAGCTTCAAAAGCTGTTATATGTAACGGATAGTGAAGACACACTCATACTCGGTAGTCGGTTTACAATAGAATTGTAATAGAGTTTAATTGATGTTTCATAAACAAGAGCAGTTGAAATATTAGCTGAATACCAATTATATTTATGAAAATTCATAACAACTTCACTATTGTGTAATCAATGGTGTATTAAGATAAGCGAACCATAATTATATAGGAAAATGTTTAAATCGATATTGGAAAGTCTGCTAGTCTATTTGTTATACGTGCTGAATTTAACATTATTAGCCTATTTCATGTTTATTCTATATCGTCTTGATGGTCCTCATGCTTTTAGAGTATGAACAACATTTATTTGTGTCTCAGTGTAGTGTCCCTCTACAATCACTTAAGTGAACTTTCGCGAGTAATGTTGTCAGTCCAATCTAACTTAATTGATAATAAATCATGTTTGATAAGATGTTTTTTTATTTGAAATTATATTGAATCTCAGTGAAGGACTTCATAGCACACAAAACTTAAGTGCTCATTATACCTAAGTGCTCAAAATACTTAAGTGTTCAAAATACTTAAGTACTAAAATACTTAAGTTTAAATAATTTACTAATTGTATTAAATGAATAATTTCATAAGATTTGGAAGTATGAATTATTTTGACAAGACTACCCAAAATTGTTGTTAAAATCAATTATGAAAAAATAAACTATTTCTTTAATAAAATCTATTATTTGAATATAGAGGTTTTCTTTTTGCCAAACAGTGAGTCAACAACAATTTTTTTTATTTAATACAATTTTTTGGTTGTTCAAACATTTTACCCAACAAGTTTGGTTAGTTAATTTTGGTTTTGGTTGAACATCGGTTTTCTTAATATTCTTTCCCATATTTGAATATTTTTCCCAATTTTATTAACTGAACTTAAAAAAATGTCTTTTAGATTAACTGAAACCTATTGCTAGACGAAAGATTCTAAATGACTTTTTTTCATATAATTGATAATACGAGTATTAAAGCTTTTCTCAGTGATTATATTTATGTTTTTAATAAAGTTTTATGTCACATCCTTTTCTTTCATGACAATAGCTGATAAATATTTTACAGTTTAAGGCACACAACTCCATATGCACCAAAGCGTTGCAATCCGAAAATATGGAAGCTGCAGTTATGGCACAATGTTCCTTTGTGTGCTTGAAACGCTATTGCTTCATTGTATTGCAGTCATTAAAAAGTCATTAAATCTTAAGGAAAGTTAAGCGATAAAATAATGCATTTACTCAAACGAAAAGTGAACTTTAATAATGCCAACATCACTCATAAACGTAATAGTAGGTTACATATAAACTGACAACGTTCGAAATAATCATTTTAATTTATCATCAGTTGTTACTCGCATTCCACGGTAATAACTTTGGAATGACTACTTCGAATTGCCAAAACTCTTACAATGAAAACATTTCTGTAATGGTACCAACTACCACATCACAATAACAATAACGAAAACAACAATGAACCGTTTGTATTGCTACTTACCTTTTACAGAGAATGTTTTGAAATCGGCATACTGTTCGCCCTGCCCCACTGTGTTTGGAATTGTGGACGCACATGTAATTTCCATGCGTCCGTTACTACCGATATGCTGCTCTGTCAGTTCAATATTCAGTTGACTGATGGAGAACATGCCCTTTTCCTGTGTTGCGGCGGTTACAGCTGCAGCAGCTGCAACCACTCCACTACTACCACCCGGATGCAACAGGGGCCGACCATAACCAGCAGCCAATTGACTCATGGGACCTGCATGCGCTGGTATGCCAAGTTCGTTGTTCAAATTTGGTGGCTGTGGACCGAAACCGCCATTGTTGAGGGTGCTGCGCAGTATGCCGAGAGCATTTTCATTGATGTGTCTTCGGTACTTGCGATTTGATGAGTTTCTGCAATTTCGAAATAAGGAAAGTTATAAAAATGCTTGTAAAAACTTTTTCAATGATAATACTTAAAGAATATATCGAGAGTACATAAATAGTTTACTGTAGTAATCGGGTGAAAAGGAGCGATTGTATTCAGTCTTACAGCATCTACTAAAACTTTATCGTGTCTATTATGAATGCATTGTTAAACTTAAGCACAAACTAACTTGAAATGACAAGAGATAATCGACACGCAGTTTTAATAAAAATATTCAAGCACTTCTGGGGAACGTGGATACATAATTCTGAGTATATGCCATGGTGTAGTCAAATGATATTAACACAAATGTGTAAAAAAAGAAAATTGGAAAACTCAAACGCCCCGATGAACGCAGAGGTTTCAACCAATAGTAGATGTAGATTATTTCAGTAAGTTATTGTTTTAATTTTTAAAAAAAATTTTATTTATAATTTAATATTTTTAATAATTTTGCTGTTATTGAGTTTGTTGCTATATATTCTAAAAATTTGCATTATGTCAGTACTCAAAGGCTAACTATGGACTACAGTCGAAATATCAGTGCAAAAATAAATTTTTTTAAATAATTTAAAAAGTTGATAATTATTTGAAATTGACTAACTGAACAAAAAAAAATATTCTTTATTTAAAGTTTCATAATTTTAAATTAATGAAATTAAATTATTTGTAATAAATTTTTAAAGTAATATTTTCATATGCTTCGTATGCATTTATTAGTACTAAAACACAGTACGTCTTTGGATCAGTTGGCTAATGCCCACTAACTCAATTTTGGCAGGGTTCTAATTAACTCTTAGTACTTGCAATCTCAGAAGAGTGTTTTCGAATTATTAAATATAAAAAATAGTTCAAAGAGCAATAATGATGATTTTAGTTGTTGCAATTCAGCACTGTTCGAAATATCTGTATTAAATACAATAGTTTCTATTAAGTACAATAATAACTACCATCATAACTGAAGTTAAAATTTTATTTAATTTAAGATGAATTTAAGATAATATACAAATTTAGTATGCATCATTTACAACTTACGGTACAACTGAAGAGGTAGTGTCTGCCTAGTACAGGGCACTCGCTGAATATCTATTCTGAACGTTCAATATCCATTTAAAAGTAGTCTTTAAAGAAATGAGTCCTGCAAAACTATTCCCCTCTGATTACTCTGTATTCCTAATAAATAACTAAAGCATTACTAAATTTTGTCACTTTATTAATTTAATTTTGTTAAACTCTTTATCACGCCTGGAACCCCACATAATCACTGCTGTGTATGTGTTGACTTCCTTAATATGCAAAATATATTATGTGAAAAATATTTGCCTACGCCTCTTTTAGCCAAATCAAATTTCAAACCAACAAATAACGAATATAACCGACATCAACATAAATATCCACAAGAGAAAGTTTGGCTGGATTGGTAACACCTTATGAAAGCCGTTAAGTGAAGTTTGTTTTCAAGCCCTTACATATAATCCGCAAGGCAGTAGAAGAAGGGGAAGACCTGAGATTATCTGGCGTAGATCTACAGTATGTGAAGTCAATAGCCAATCTACTCACCTTGGCAGATCATACATCAATATTGTTGAGCTCAGGGAAGTGGTAGAAAGAAGGTAAAGATGGAGGCAATTTGTGGATCGCTTATACCCAGTATAGAGGCAGCTTGGAATCATGTGACGCCAAGCAAGACTTAATAATAATAATGATAATAATAATAATTATTATTAAAGTTAATTTATTCAAAAATATTTATTCAATTAAAAAAACCGCGGTATTACTGAACTGATTTTTCAGTGCGCCGTTTTGGAAGGTGCTGATATTGAAGACTTCAACAACAATATGGTTAATTCTATTAAGATTGATAGACCCTTGCCCTTCCCAACTCTCAAGTAAAGAATTAGTCCCATTTTGGTTCTAACCCTAATAACCATGTAGACCCCAACCCTTCCCAAATGCCACTCCACTTGCTTAAAGTAAAGCCCTAGGCAGTATTAGATAAAAATTTATTTATTTTTTTATTTATAAATTTCTATGGAACATACTTCCTTTCAAACCGCAAAGATTGTGATTTTAAAACTTTTCATTTGTGTGGCAACTTCTTCTATCAACACTATTTCTAAACACTTTCCCTATCTCTCAATAAAATTTTGAACTTCAATAATAATTTTTATGTTCAAATGAACCCCGAAATTAAAAAGTGTATAATTTTATATACATATATATAAAAATATATAGTAAATAAAAAAGTTACAAACTTGATATTTGCTAATTCATGGCATTTTCTTAATCTAATCGAAGCGGTAACTTTTTAATGCATATTTTATTATTGTTTTATGACTTACAAGCACCAATAAAAGCGAAAGTTACTTTATTATTTATGGGCTTCTCAACACTTCGGTAATAGGTACGAGTGAGTGTACGTGAAAGGATAACCGTATGCTTATTACCATACGAACATGTGCCATTAAACTCCGGAGTAGCAGCGAAACGGCATTATTCACTCTCAGCGTCACTCATACGCCATGAATGCCAATATTCCCTGCCGACAGAGCGACAAAACGACAGAACTCAGTAAAAAGTTAAAAAATTATAAAAGCAACAAGTAAATAAAATTATTTGCAAATATTTGCATTTCATGATTGATGAGAAATATCGGATTTCGCATACATTTCGCGTGCATACATTTTGCAGCAAAAAAAAAAAGAAAAAAATCCTTTATGGTTTTTATATTGGACGAATTGATTCGGTAAAGCACGCAGACATGATACTCAGCCACGCCTAAGCCTTAATTTACATATGCATTTACATAAAAGCAAATATGTGAATACAAATTCTGTTTGTTTCTGACTTGGCACAAAATTTCATGGTGAATTAAACTGAGCTGATTTCATTCGAAATGTTAAAATATTTAATCTTTGATTGGGTTGTTATGATATTAGTAACCTACATTGAAATAATACTATTACTGACAATTTACATCATGCACCAAATGGACTCAAAAGGAATTATGAAAATTTTAATGTAATTACTTGATCAATTGGATACTATTCCTGCTCTTTCATGATTAACCATTTTGCAGTCACATTTTAAGCCTATTATTAATAACATATTGTAATAAAGAATTAACTTAAACTGAATGATTAAATGGGTTCACTACAAGTCTTTGTTTGTCTTTTAGAGATCTTCCAAAACCCTATTTTCACAAAATGAACAATTATGTAGAGTCATTGACGAAACAAATAAGTACTGTATTCAATTGCAGAATATATTAAATATATTATATCTATATTAAAGGTAGTTAACCTAAAAAATATATAATATATATAATACAAATTAAATATAATAAGTAAGCTTTTCAAAAACTGTCTTCAAATCAATAAAAGATCACTTTTGTTCACTATATTGCAGTTACCAAGATACTTTCATCTCTAATTCAATAATTCCTTATTCTGTTATTTCCTATTGACTTGTTTGTTAGAAGACAATTTTTACAAAGCAAATTATTCTTAGTTTTTGCACTGACACGCTTAAAGGTATTATTCTAGCCAATATTTTTAACAGTATATTGCATTCATCAGTTAAATTGTTTGCTGGGGAAAAAAATTCAGTCGATATCCTTTGTATGTACTAAGAAGAACAATACATGGCAGTTTAAAGTTCCTAAGCAAAATGCTTTGCTCTTTGAAAACTGATATTAATCAGACAAATTCCAATTTTGCTTAAATTTATTTTACATTATATCTCCCCTTTCAAGAAATTCCTAATCCAAATAGAATACAGAGAAATAATATGATATCAAGTACGAACAAAATTACGACAGAGCTTGTTGCTGAGAAGTTTTTGTTTTTTATAAGAATGGAGCATTGATGCACCGATATTAGTAATAGTAGTAGCAGTTGTAGAAAAAGTAGTAGAAGTAGTAGTTATAGCAGTGGTAGAAATAATAATAGTAGTAGTAGTAGTAATAGTGGAAGTAATAATAGTAGTAGTAATAGTAGTAGTAGTAGTAGTATTAGCAGCAGTCGTCATAGCAGTCGTAGTAGACGTAGTAGAAATAATAATAGTAGTAGTAGCCGTAGTAGTCATAGCAGTCGTAGTAGTCGTCGTAGACGTAGTAGAAGTAATAATAGTAGTAGTAGTCATAGTAGTCATACCAGTCGTAGTAGTCGTAGTAGACGTAGTAGAAGTAATAATAGTAGTAGTCATAGCAGTTGTAGTAGTCGTAGTGGACGTAGTAGTCGTAGTAGTTATAGCAGTCGTAACAGTCATAGCAGTCGTAGTAGTCGTAGTAGTCATAGCAGTCGTTGTAGTCATAGTTGTTATAGCAGTCGTATTAGTCGTAGTAGCAGCAATTGTATTAGTAATTGCACTAACTATTGTTCATTAAATTCGACATATTTATAAATTAAATATATGTGCGTTCCATAAAAATTAGATATCAAACTTCTTGGCTTATTTCAGAGCTATAAGCCACTTCCCAAGCACAATCTTCATGATATTTTTTTATGATCGATTACAACTTGAGACAACAACAATAAAGTATATAAGTAAATGGAGAAGATTCTTTGTAAGATAATGAAAACTACTCCGAGTCTCTTGTAACCACTGATGACGATATGGCGATATCTTTGAATAATACCCCAATATTAATCAAACATTTATACCAAATTATATTAAACTTATTTTTCATATTAAAAATATCAAAGTACCTCAAAGAATTTATTTTATTGTAGATTTTTATTATAAAACCGTATTGGTAGTATTAATTTTTGCTAATGTTTATTTGGTTTATTTCATTTTAAAATAATGAAAAATGTAAGCCTAATCGTATAAACTTTTACATGAAAATTATTGTAGAATTAGCATGTGGTTTAGGTTAATATTCCATTGGCAAAATAAAAGATTTAAGTTAATTATTGCCATCGACAGTAGAGATAAGCCATCATTTATGCTAAAAATAATTTTATATTACAATTTTATTTTATTT